TTTTTCAAATTATTTTTGAGCGGTAACGTTCCTCCCTAACGTACGCCCATGCTTCTAATGTACGTTTTCATTATTCTTAGGTGACAAAATATCCCAGAATAAAGCTTACTTTTCTTCTTCTTCTTCTTCTTCTTCTTCTTCTGTATATTCCCATTCCATCCATAGGCGGATATACAAGGAAGGGGGTGGCGGCTTTAAAACTGAATCTCCTCTCGCTCCCCCCCAAAAAAAGATAAAATATAAATATGAAAAAAAAATATTAAAAAATTATATCTAAAAGTATTATTGCTCGTATAATTACATATTAATGGGACTCATTTAAACACCATTTCTCAAACAAAGTAGTTAGTTTCTTTCTATTTCTTCCACATTAATTATCATTATATATATAAATAAAAGCTTTCAGGCTGAAATTAAGTTAAATCCTGGATCCACTGCTGCACCATCTAAAGCATATGTGTTACGAAACTTACATTCAAAGTGTTTCGGAACGAATAAAAAATGTCCTTGACTTGTCCGGAGTTCAACTGGTGGTTCGCTCCGTTTTGGGGTCACATAGTTTCGCGCCTACCTAACCAAATGAAATACTGTCTCAAAGAAAGTGAAACGGGGCAGCCTTGAAACGAGGGTGCGGGCGGATATACCTCCCTGCCTCGTCGATCAAGCGACCTCTTGCTGACTAATGAATTAATTTACTACCTCAGAATTTCATTCTTAAAGGATTGTAGCTAATACAGCGTTCATCGTGTCTCAGTTCAAGAACAATCAATAAATTCGGTAAAAACGTTTCTTCCTCTTCGCCCAAAGACACCGTTGTGTCGGTGTTACAACACACTGGAGATATGACCATTGTCGCCTGAACCCATGGGATTCTCCCACTGTAGCTGGGTTAAAAGGCCAAGCTAGCCAAGGCTTTTGTTTCCTCAAGGTTTTTTTGATTAGATGTTTTGCAAGAGTGCGGTCAATAGAGGGTATACGCTTTGATATTTGCTGATGAATGATTAGTGAACGCAATAAGTTATTATTTCCACGGTCATCTTTGTGAGAGAGAGAGAGTAACCTTAAACATTTATACGCGTGTATGGTAAAAGACATGAACCAATGACCTTTTTTTCGCTTTAATTCTCGTTATCCGGATACACCTCCACTCTCAGAGTTTATTTTATTTATTTGATCTTTATTTGTTTTAAGGGAAGAACCTCATACATATAGAGTTTTTATCTGTGTTATAAACATTATTGTCCTTATAGTTTTAATAAAAGTTGAGTATAACTTACAAATCATGTTTCGTAAAAAATCAGACAGTTAAAATAATACTAATTATCAACATGAATATAAAATCTTAAATTGTCAACAGAACACATAGACAACAACAATAAATACATTTTACTTTTTAAATATTAATATTAAATCATATTTAAAAATTAAATTAACATTTTATTCCCATAAACAAAGGAAACAAAACAGATTACATGACGAAATCGAATCTATGTTTTTGCTACAATACTCAAAGAACAATATTTGAGATTACCCCTCCAAATCTCAATAATTAGATATATTAGAAATAAAGAAATACAATTTTCTCATATTTTTTTAAAGTGGTTGGCTTAAATATTACTATCCTATTAAGATTTCTTTTACCCTTGTCAATTCTTCCTCTCAAACAATTGTTTATTGGGCACTTAAATAAAACATTATAAAGTGTCTCATTTTCCATGGTGTTGCAAATTTTGCACTCAAGTTTTGGAGTGATTTTCACTCTCAAAGTTAAAGTAGGTTGGGTGCGAATTCATAAACATGTCGCTTAGATAACTTTTTTTCTAATTATTGTTTGAATCCCGAAAGCTCTGAAATTTTAAAATCGTTTTAACGTCATTTATTCGATTTAAATGTTATACCGTAAAAACTTGAACTTCACTATCAAACAAATTTTACAGTATTATTTATTTTATTTGCTAATAAACGATTTGATTGACTTAAGCTGCTTTTTAATAATAATATCCGGTAAGATTGTAATTAGAATCTTTTCTAGAGGCGGGTCAAGAAATTTTAACTGGATTTCAGTTAAATGGGAAATAATCATCTTATAAAACAACTTCCGAGTGAAATAGACAAAATTTATTCCAAGCAAATGTATAGTTTGACATTGTTATAACCGTTTGAAGAGAACTTTTTGGCTGATAAACTAAGCTAAATTTATTTCATTTTTTTAAATTATGAATCATTCCACCCTAAAATTATGCTACAGATACCCAACTCTTAGGAAAATTTCCTTGTTTAATAAGATTTAACTTCATATTAATTTAGTTGAAATGTTATACGAAATATGTTGAGATTCTCCTTAACTTTTGTAAAAAAAAAAAAAAAGAGTTGATTTGATATGCTGTCACCTAAACGTACAAGTGTTTTTAGCAAACATTACTACAACAAATTATTGCAAAACTTTAATTTAATTTTCATTCCATTAGAGAATGAACTATAATAAACATAAATTCATAAATATACTGTTTATTTATAAACAAAATGTTAAAAATAATGATTTTTCGAATGTTTATCATCTAAAGGGATAATGAAACTGTGTTCTTTAAGATCTGTATTATAGGAGTTGGTCCACTTTTAGAAGTGACTAAATGAATGTTTCTAATTTTAATATATATATGTATAAAATATTGTATACTATGCTCATACATATTGTTAATCCTATATAATTGTATAATAATTTTAAATATTGTCTGTAGTGATTAATAAGTATGCTGTGTTGTTAGCAATCCAATGTGATTGGGCAGCACCATTTTATTTTATGATAATAAAGTGATTCTCTCTTTTAAAATTAAAAAACCCGCTGGTTGCTTAAATTATTTTCATGAAAAAGTAAATGTTAGTTTTCCTACCTCCGTCGCTCCAATACCCTTCCCATCTTTAAATCTCGCCTATTCAATCACTTCCTATCTATTCAGTTCCCGTAAAATTACTATTAGTTCGTTTTCATTATTTTATTTCACTTTTCTTTCATATTTTTTTTCTTAATCTATTAAAGTTCGAAAGTAACTTATACTATTTTAAATTTATTTGTTATGTTTATTTTGTGATTATTCTCTGAGGCTCCAAAGCCCACATTTCTATCTCTGTATATATATCGTTCTAAAAGGACTTGTCCCAGAACAAATAAGTATTACTATTATTATTATTATATATATATATATATATATATATATATATATATATATATATATATATATATATATATATATATATATATATATATATATATATATATATACAACTTTTCTTTAATCGACCTTTGAGTATTAAATTTAAACATAACCATTTAATTGGGAATAAGGACACTTATTAATTATTTAATAAACTACTGAATTTCCTCTATGTTTATTATTAGCTTTGAAATTTTAAATTCGTTTTCACATCATTTATTCCATTTAAATGTTATACCGTAAAAACTTGCATTTTACTAATCAAACAAACTTTCCACTATTATTTATTTTAATACTTACAGTAGCTTAATATATGTGCTAGTGGACTGTGTTGAGACTGTCGTTGTGTCCTTGGCCTAATCGAAGCTCTATTTTTAAAACTTTGAAGAGGATCCCATCGTTAACTTATAAAAACAAAAATACCGGGATCGAAACGTCAATAAACATAGAGGAAATGAACATTCAGTAGTTTATTAAATAATTAATAAGTGACCTTATTCCCAATTAAATGGTTATGTTTAAATATATATATATATATACAATGGTGAAACGTGAAAATGAAACTTATCTTTATAATTTGTTTATTTTTTTTCTAAATGTTTTCTAGCGTCCTACCGCAACCATAGCTAATCACCGACATGCTATGTGACAGAGGACGTGTGCGTATAATTTCAACCTGATTGGTTCATTCTCACCGCCACTATTGAAAGACGGATCGACATACAGACGGATTCGCCATACCATTGTGAAAGTATAGCCTCACGTCGGGGGGGGCTTTGAAAGATCGAGTTGATTGTATTTTTCGAAACATGGCCTTAGAATAATGGAAACATTAATGAGACAAGACATTTCGTGGAACTGTTGATTGAATTGTACTCATTATTTGAATGCGTAGTGAAATAAATTGCGATGAAACTGAAAGGTGAGCTCATCACAAAAAAAAAAAAAAAAAAAATGGAAAGAAGATATATATATAATTAAAAAATCTCTATAAGTTTCTAGCAGATACAATAATGTGCCTGAATCGCTGAACCTGGGAATTTTCGAGAGACAGATTGGTCAGGAATGAGTTTTAATCATATTATTATATACAAATTTTAGGCACACCTTTCTGGGTTTTATATTTGTATATTGTATGGGTACAATATGTATATTGTATAATAGTGATTATGTGGATATAGTGTAGTATTAATACTGTATATGATGAGTGATATGGAAAAGGAGGAAAAGACTTTGTATATATATATATATATATATATATATATATATATATATATATATATATATATATATATAAATTTATGATTCAAGTATAATTAAGCACTGTGTCCAAAAAAGGATTGATGACTATGCTTTGTATCGAACTATATATAGTAGGGCAGCACTGCTTTATTTCTCTCTACAACCAATAAAACACCATGAGGTATATTCTTAGCCAAAGATGTTCCTGTCATCCTAATCAACATCTATGACAAAATCTAGCTCATCCGGCTTCTTTTCACCCAATCTATTGCAGGGTCGGGTATCCATCCACTCTAAAAAGATTACATATGGTTCATGAGGGTCTACTGTCACTAGAATCTAAATAAAACAGGAATTAATTTTTTTTTGTTTTGACCGGAATCGGAGCTAGGTGCAGAATTAAAAATTTCCGAATAAGCCTTGCTCTATTACTATAATATTAATATGTATATTTACTGATTATTATGTATATTTTAATATTTTATTCTTTAAGTCATTCATTTTGTTGAGAGTATCAATAATGATTTTAACCTTCATTTGTTGCAGTTGGAATGGAGTCCTCATTCTAGGGGAAGACAATTTAGCATTAGTAAGTAAATCAATAACATTAATTACTGTTATATATTTATTAAAGCATTTTATTTATAATTATTAACATATTTCTCGAGATCATAGCACTGTAGAATGGAAGCACTGTGCCTTACTCAATGAGCCACCCTTTTCCCCTGACAATAATAATAATAATTTATTATCGTCTATTTAAAGCTTAAACTTCTGCACAAATTTTGCCAAACTCTATACGACTCAAAGTTAATATCTTAGAATGCCTACTGACTTCTCTTTATAATAAATGAATTACTTGAAGATTATGGAATTTCAGTGACTTTATAAGAGAAAGGAATCAACATTACTTTTTATCTTGTAAAAAAACTTTTAGTTTCTTAATCACTGGAATATCAGCTGAGGTTATAAAGATGTTATCTTAATATTCATTTCATTTTTTAAAATGATTAATAAATTGTTATATGTGTACGTAATATTAGACGCAGGCTTCGGGGGGAGGGGAGAAGGGGCGATCACCTCTCCCCCAATAAAAATGTTAAGGAGGCAAGACAATATTACCTCCCCCCCCTCCTCCTGAAATATGTATATTCATTTATTTTTAAATATCCAATATTATATTTGTTCGTTATCTATCACCTTTTTTTTCCCCATCCCTCTACCAACCAAAATGGAATGTCTGGGCTTATGGTTATGGATAAGGCAGGTGAAGAAATTCCTCAGATTACTAAGGGTCGGATTTGAAGTTATTAATTTTTCTAAGTATCAAAATCATAAAAAATAATAGATCTTAAATAATTTATACAATCAAATTTATAAAGTATAAACCTTGTAGAATGCAAACAACAAACATAAACGTCCTAAAATTGAGTAGTAACTTTAAACCGTGATGTTAACAAAAGTTAAAATTTTAAAAAGTGAAATTAATGACGAGGATATTTATATTTTTATGGAGTATGAGATTCGTTGAATTTATTGAAAATATTATCTCAAAATTCATATGTATCAGAGATATTTTAATCAGAATATGTTTTATTTATCTAAAATCAAATGTAACATTGCTAATAACTCTTTCGTTAAAATTAACACGATCGAGTAATATACTTTTTTATCAAAAAGAGATTGCAAAAATATCCAATACTCTCCTGTTGGAAGGAATAATTCAACAAAATTCTGAAAGAAAATCGCAAAACAGAACTTACAGGATTTTATTGTTTGAAACCATTATCCAATATCAACAAAGATTACTGAGGTCTAAATCATAATTTAAACTTCTAATTCTTCTTTCTACCCGTTGTTCTCTTCAACGAGAAAGCTAACTTAAAAAAGATTAATAGTTGATAAGAATGTTTTGATTGAGAAACAGGACCGGCGATTGGTCGGTCCTCACAGATCTAGGCAGAAAGCCATTAATTCATACTTTCGGTCACCTGCCAAATCTGGAAAGGAAACTTCACCCTTCCAAGACTGGGCAAGTCCAAAAGTGAAGGAGGAAGTCCACTGACGAGGTAAGAGTGAAAGTTAGGTCAGGGGCGTAACTCACCTGTTTCTAGCTCAGTTCTGCCTATCGGAATCAAAATCTTCTTCCTATCAAATATAGCATTATTAAGACCAGTAAGGCTAATGGCTACTTGTAGAAACAAGTGATTATATAAATAGAATTAGAGAGAAGAGGATGATGAATAAAATGTACAGGAACAGAAAATAATCGTTTTTTTTTCGAACATTTTTAAATAAGCATGGATTTTTGAAATAGTGTGATGTCTCGGATACATATTATTAATGCCTTTTAAAGAAGATAATGAATCTATTATTATTATTTTGAATATTTAATAGTTCACCGTTGCATTATAAAGGAAGGAGATGGTCCGGGGTTGCGGTCGTAAATAGGCTAAATAGTGAGTGTGTGCTATAGGCTATAGGCTAAATTGGGAGTGTGTGGCTCCCTGAAGAAGACCTGCAAAGTCGGGTCGAAACGTCAGCTTTCAATAAAATAGTTTTACCACTATTTAGCCTATTTATGACCGCTACCTCGGACCATCTCCTTCCTTTATTATTATTATTATTACTATTGTTTTGGGGATAATAGACATGGAAAATGCAGAGCTGAGGCTATTGCGTGAAGTTCAGCTGGATATACAGTGCACAATTTATGTAGTTTGATTTTGCGGGTTGAATCGCAAGTAATAAAATAAGATGCTCTGGATTCTTCGGATTTTGATCCAGACTAAGAGTTTATTTTTTGTTCGATTCTAATAATTAAAGTACTCTATAACACAGCATGGTGACTAACAACATAGTTATTAATATTGTAATTGAGCAATGGTGCAACAATTGGCGCATTAAGATCAATGAATCCAAATGCAAGCATGTCACCTTTACCCTCCGACGCAGATCCTGTCCACATATCCTTTTCAACTCTGTACCTCTCCCCGTCTCAGACACAGTTCGGTATCTTGGATTCCTTTTAGACAAAAGACTAACTTGGAACCCACATACTAGACTTAAAAGACAAGAACTTAACCGACGATTTGGTCAGCTATACAGACTACTTAACAGAAAATCCAATCTATCAATAGAAATACTTATCTATCAATAGACCATACTCAAAACCATCTGGACCTACGGACTTGAACTGTGGGGGACAACTAAATTTTCGATCAAACGCATCCAATCCTTTCAGTTTAAAGTCCTCCGTATGATAGCCAATGCTCCTTATTACGTTACAAACAAAACCCTACATCATGATCTTTACATCCCTTATATCCTTGACCGACGATTTGGTCAGCTATACAGACTACTTAACAGAAAATCCAATCTATCAATAGAAATACTTATCTATCAATAGACCATACTCAAAACCATCTGGACCTACGGACTTGAACTGTGGGGGACAACTAAATTTTCGATCAAACGCATCCAATCCTTTCAGTTTAAAGTCCTCCGTATGATAGCCAATGCTCCTTATTACGTTACAAACAAAACCCTACATCATGATCTTTACATCCCTTATATCCTTGACGTGATTCCATCCCGATTCTCAAATTTTCACATGAACCTAATCCACCATCCTAACCCTTTAGCACAATCCTTATCTAGCTCCAGTCATCCCTACAACCCTCCTCGAAGGTTGAAACGGCAGTGGCCTCGAGATCTCTTGTAAAGACGTCACTGGAGTTCTGGCAATGGCCAGCTTCTCCACTCAAGTCATGAGTGTTTGTGGTTTTAGTGCCCTCTCTCAGTCTCCACCGGACTGGTAATGCCGGCGACGCGGTTGAGAGAGAAGCGCTGGGATCTCTTAGAGTCTCGCTTTGTCTTTCACACGTGGGGGAAAGGGCTGGACTCGGAGATCTCTTGCCTGATTGTAAATATTGTATTTAAGTATGAATGTTTTTCTATTTATTTCTATTACTTATAATTTATTTAATTTTGCTACGAATTTCTGTATTTCATTTAATTTTAACTCTAAGTTACATTTCCTTGGTTTATTATAGTTTTTGCCTTTGTTATATAGATGTTTTATATTTTTTATTATTTTTTTTTATGGTATTGTATATATAGTATGAATGTGCCTCACTCAGCCTTAGTACTCAGTGCCCTTAAGTGTGGCAAAATGTATTATTTCTCAATAAACAGATACAAAATAAAAATATTAATAGGGTGGTTTCCCTTCCAAGTACCTTCCGTGATTGACATCGGTTAGTTTTTATTATCTGTTGCAAGCTCCTAAGACCGTTCGGCTTATAATATGTGTAAAAAATATAAATCAAAATTAATTGTTTAATACAATTCATTTTCAATTAAATTAATAATAATAAAAGCGCCCGATCCATAGTACTTTTTTCAAGATAAAATTTGTTTTCACCTTCCAGGGAGGTGCGCGCGCCCCCCGCGGTCCTCCCTTGATCTTTCCTCACTAGTGATTCTGTCCTCATATTTTATTGCTTATAAGAAGTACATACCAGGTGTGGATGGTAAAAAGATTAGTGAAATCATGGTCTCCTATACTCATACTTCCTATATTAGAAACGCAGACGTTTTATTATAAAGGGAAAATATTATGAAGATCACAGAAGAGCGATATTTATTGCCCGGAGTTTAAGTCGTGTCCACGAGATACGAGCATTTATTTCGACCCGTCACGTTCTAGACCATATTTCTGTTGTGCTCGGCAACTTTCTTGAAAATAGTTTCGAAAGCTCGAAACCACTCCTCATCTTTCGCAAACCTATGGTAGGATTTAAGGTTGGAGACTTCTAACCCGAAGAGTTTTAACCTTCGGTTTGAAAAGGGGACCATCTGGCAATTTTGTTCAATAATCTATTAACTGGTAAATAATTGTGATGACGAAATATATAAAAAATGACACCAGTTTATGAAAGTTAAGTGTTATTCAAACTTTTTTTTTATCATGCGCCCCCTGGCATTTTGCATCCCAAGTCGATGACTTTGTATACCTAGTGGTGTTACGGCATGCAGTGTAGCCTTCAATGGACGAAAATCGAAGTATTTTGTTGCCGATTTTTAGTCGTATAGTCCATCTCTTATTAATTTATATAAATAACAAGAGCTAGTCAACAAACATAAAGTATATAACAAATATATAATGTATTCATAGAGAACAAGTACAAAATATATTAATTTTATATTTACAAACAGATGACTCGTAACGTAAATATACATTTAACTATTTATTAATATTTGACAAGTTAAGCTTTGAAACATCACACGAAATAAGGTATATCTATATTAAGTATAAGTTTAAAATATTTTTAATTGTTTTAATGGACTTTTCTGTTTAGTAATTGGCCGACAAAGAAAGTACTGTTCTATTAATGATAGAAAATGCCAAACGATTCTGGCAGACAGGCAAATTTCTCAAATGATAGTATAAAAAGCCTATTAGGATTCCAAAGATGAAAGAGACAATACAGTCGTTAACTCGGATGATATTGTGGACTGGTGGAGATCTCTTTACTTAGGGATGTGTATTATGCATTATGAAGTACCCACTTTAGAAGAAAGCCAAGAATCTATAGACAGAAAATAAAGTCGATTGTGCTGTAGAAGGAATAAGGTCTTCCTAGACCTAAAGTCTACGTTACTTTCTTTCTTGCTCTCATCGCAAAATAGTTACCAACAGATTTGATAAAAGACAATAAAATAGACTAATTACAAGGGGTCCAAATCGTATCCTCTTGATAGATGAATTAAATAGAGAGACAATCTAATCTTAGTTTCCTCTTATTCAAAATTTTGATGAACGAGATATATAAGATTTGCAAGGGTATGATTCATCATGGGCTGCAATGATGATGCTAGAGGAACAGAAGATGCGAACAAACCTTGCAAAATCTCTCCTGTAAATTTACGACATAGTACCTAATTACAGACTAGAAAGATAAATTACTGGTACTGGTATTAGTGGTGGAAACTAGTCCAACATGTGGGCCAGGACGTCAATTTTGTTAACCCTCTGACTACTATCTTGAGGTTGCCGCCGCGTACTTAGCAAAATGGAAATGTCAAGATTCATATTCCAGGACCACGGAGAAAAGAAAATTAATCGACCCAGGTAGGCCCACAACATTCAGAACCTCTGGGACCCACGCCGTAACGTGCTCGGCCATCTCGTCCTCTAAGAAAAACTACCACTAAATAGCCACTTGTGGAATGGATGGAGGATCTGCTAAGGAAAGGAATGTCAACCAAAAACTCGATGTGCAAGGTCTCAAAAAGAGTTATCTCATAGAATGAAGATGAACTTATTGAAATATTATGTTTCGGGGATTTACCTATATTTAGAGGATTGGAGACTTTCGAAGTAAAATCCTAGCTTAAATGAAGCAGCTGGGCAAAGGCCGGAAAATTGGCAGCTCTAGATCCGACGCCCCTCTGAACCAATAATGGCTTGAAGAAGATGGAAAGTCTGTTCCATTCGAAATTTTATTTCGTACATCAGTGATTATTATATGAACTATATTGATTAAAAATTAACTACTAATTTATTGTTTTTTCATCTGTGAAATTTAAGTAATTTATTTAAAGGTTGCCAATAAGAAAATTCCATTATAATTTGATGTTTTATTTCATCTATCTAGCTATAGTTTCGCGGTTTTATCCTATCCTCAGAGCTCTTTTTCATTACAATTTAAATTTTTGACATATGTGCTCCAATTTTCATAGAATTTATGTTATATTTTATTGATTAATATATTTCATGGGGTTACACATTACCAAACCAACAATTTGGTCAGCTTTTTTTCTGCAAATTTAAATTACCCTAGCTGTGAGCCCACAATGTCCAAGCTAGTAGTGGAAACTACTGGATAGCCTTCAGGTGGTTGGCGAGAAGTACTATAAAGCCAACATGAAAGATTAGTACCATTATCTACTCTTTATACTGTTTGTTGTCTTATTTCGTACTGACTGTTATTTTATTTGTTTAGTCTTGAAAAAGCAAGGGTGTCCAGATGGAGATTGTATGACGCAAGTTGCGACATCAAAATATTTGAGAGAGGCACATTTTTAGGGGGTTTAGAATTTTGGAGGTAACCATATCTTTTAAAGTTTTAATTTTAAGGAACTTTCAAACCAGGTAACAGAAAGAAAAACATGGAACATATTTAAATTTTTTCTAATTATACTTCCACTTCCATTGTTTTTAAGAGAAGATTTCTCATAAAATAAAATTCTATAAAATAAAAAACAATAAAATTTCTTGGGAGTGAAGTTATGTCATCGATCTTGGAAGGGGGGGGGGTGGCACCCCTATGATGAAAATCTCTAACTCGTACAGGTTGAAACAAGTTGTTATTAAAATAAATGTATATTTATCTGTGTGTTTTTTGTTCCAGACTGCACTTCATACCAATTTATACTTTAATAATTTTTATAATATACTAATTATTCAATATTTAACTATGGAGAGTGAATGCTTTGCTGTGGTAAACAACATAATTATTAAACATATCTATGAAAGTTTTTTTATGTTTCAGGTAGTAATTAAAGATGTATTATTTTCAATAAGATCACCACAATGAAGATCTTTATTGCCATAACAGCGCTGCTCCTAGGTAAATTTGTTTATAATGAAGTATTTCTATTTTGAAGTTTTATAAATGTTTGGTTATAGATCTTCTCACTACCATGTGCATAATTGTGTTTAAATATTTTGCTTCTGAATCCTTTAAATAATATATTGATGTAAAGTCCTCATTCACTTTCAAACTTCCTTGAAACCTATAATTCAATTACATTATGAAATGAAAGAAACCATAATTCCTTTCATTTAATCTTTAGTAAAAGCCATCTCATCCTTCCTATATATTATGTTAATGATTATTAAATACAAATGGTTAATTAATAACATTTTTAGTTAATGAAATCATAGAAATAAGAAACCTATTGATAATATTATGTATCAGATATCCATCAGAAAAGCAAGAATTTTAATCATTTTATCACAGAAAAGCCACATTTCAGAAGAAACAGAAAGGAAATTAAAAACAGTAATGGATGAAAGGCTATTTGTAGCTAATTATGCAATGAGTTTATATTTACCAACAAATCGTAAATAATGAAAACTTAAATACTATTAGCATAAAAGACGAATAGAAATTGACCACTTATAGGGAATCTATGAATAATATAAGTAATCACTGATTAGTTACATGTTTTGCAAATATTTCCTTCAAGCCCCTTCAGTCAGATTATAATTAATACTTATTTGATATTTTCTGCAAATATCTTAATTTTCTAAAATTTCCCAATACAAAGTTTATTTTTTTTATATGTACTCATTGTTATTTAAAGGCATTAATTAAATTAAAAAATCAAATGGTGAGCTACTACATAATATAATCATATACAATGTTTCTAAACAGGTATAGCAGAAGCAGCAGGACCAGTGTATAGCACAGTAGTATCTATTAAACCATCAAGTGTCAAAGAAAATGAAATCCTCACAACACAAACTGTTTATGGTTTCTTGGATTTTACAACAACAATAGCTAATACTGTAATGATTTTCTCACCTCAAAGCCAGAAAGGTAAGAAACCATAACATTTATAAGAACTAAAAACCTTCCTATATTGTATATCTTTTAATCAAGGGTTCCACTACCCACTTTCAAGAATAACTGGTCCATTTTCATATTAAAGATTAAAAACTTATTAATAATTTATGTCACATGTACTGATTTATAAATTTTGTTTGTAATTACTTCTATTTTATTAATTAAATAACCAAAACAGACGTTTCTGGTAATATTCTACAAAATTAACATAATCAATTAGCATAACTTAAGCAGTTTATACAGTTAAAAATGTTTTTATTTTGAAAGTTCATATATGAAATATAATGCAATTCACATGCATCAAATAGGTACAATGTCATATTTAGAATCAGTAAGTATATGGCGGTCATCCATAGATAATTCCTCATTACACCAATTTTCATTTTCTTAACAAAACTATTATTCATTATTCAATTTGTTGATTGAATTTTTATAAGACATTGATTTTTATATTAAACCACTTTTAAACAAATCTGAATGTTCTGAGATTCATATCAAGTTATTAATGCAATAGTAGAAGCTTTTCATATACAAATTATTTTTATAATGGATTCATAAATAATTATATTTAAAATTGCATCCTAACATTTCTTTTTTTTTTTTTAATTTTAGAAGCTGAAATAAAACCTACATCAGTGAAAAAAATTGAACAAACTAAATCAATACAAGTATCAAGTGTAGTCCAAATAAAGACTCAACTTCCAGGTTCACCTAAAATTGAGAGTTCAGAAAAACAGGCCGCAAACAATAAAAAAATTTCTCCTACTAAAACCAGAATTGAAGTTTCAAAAAAAGTACAAGAAGAAAAACAAGTTAAAAACACACCAAAGATCATAAATACAAATGTCCAAACAAAAATATCTAAAGCCAAAGAACTGAGTGTGGATTCTGTAAAGCGAAATGTGCAGCCTACAGTTTTATTAAGTAAAAGCAGTCATAAAAAAGAAAGTGTTAAAGATGAAAATGAAAATAAAGTAGAACTTTTGGAATCTGATCTTCTTTCAAAACAACCATCGGAGAATGTAGGTGAAACATACAAGGTAATCACATTTATGTGTGAGTATAAAAATTTAACTTTTATAAGTATAAATGTTTTTTCTTTGAATCAAATTCGTAATGTAACAAAAAAAAATTAAATCTTCATTTTATACAATGGTAAAATTTTCCCCTTGGACTATTTACAACAAATAATTATGTAATCTTCTATATTTACTTCTCAATATATTTTAATTAATTAACCCCTTACTTAGTTATCAAAAAAATGAAGTTAACTAATTTAAATATTAATGTTTTCCAGATTTTGTGGGAAGTTTTAAGTTTATAAAAAATCTAGGAATTTAAAATATCTACATTTTCTTATTTTATTCTTTTAAATATCCAATTATAGTTTACATTTTGGGACAATACTCCACATAATCAGAACCATATTCTTCTTGTTACTAAATATCCAAAGATAATTTTAATTATCTTCTTATCATTTAATCTATAATTTATTATTATTAAAATTTATATAATACTTATTAGCATCTCTTTTGTCTTTATATAAATGATATAGATTGGCAAAAAGGGTACTAATAAGAACTTCCCCTCTACATAACTGTAGCCATCTGTCAAATAAACACCTTATTTATTTATTTTTTTTTTTTGTACCATTTTGATTTGTTTTACATTCTTCTAATTGCATGCACTAAGTTGTAATGTGATTTTTATTTCAATAACAAAAGTTTATTGTTAGGTTCATGTGTACTAAAAAGTAATTTTTAGGCACATGCATATTAAAAGGTATTCATACCTTAATTTGTTTGTCTATAATTCATTAACTACTATCAATCAAAATACTACTCAACAATAAAATGTTTACAGATAGTTGAAGGTGGCCCTGCTACAAAAGTACGGAATGAGCCCACAGGTTTAGTAACAAAACTTGGAGGAACAGTTGTGAAGGATGGTGTTACGACGGTACATGAAACAAGTGTTATAGGCACTTATATTTCAGGAAAATACGCACAAGTGTTAAAAGCTACTTCTCATGTAATTCAAAAACCATCGCCTAGCAAATCCCATCACAAAAAAACACAGGTAGAGCCAAGTCAACTTGAAGATAGTCTTCCCTTAGAAGCTTTATTTTCTACTCCTGTGGGACAAAATCTAGTGAGACACACACGTAGACCTGCTGTTCAACCACCATTTAAAAACAGAATTCAAAGAACAAAAGTTCAAGAAACAACAGAACATAAAAAGAAGCAGACAAGGCCCTTCAAGTAAATATAATCAATGTTATTTGTATCGAGAGATTTTTTTTAATAAGGAAAATTTAAGTTTGATTTTCCTAAGGAAAATTTTCCTAATTCTTATAATTTATACTGAATAATTTGCACCATGTAGTCCTCTAAATTACTTTTATTTACTTAAACTTCATAAGAATAAAGTTCATAAAAGAAAAATATTTAAAAAGTAATAGGCTCACATGACATGACCCAACAATTTAGGGCATCTTTATTGAATAATCTAGAGGTTCTTTATTGAATAAGTATGTTCTATTATCTTAATTATAATTATTCAATCTTGTTATAAATTAAATTTCAAATATTCTAATCTTGATATCATAAATTAATTATAATATGTAGTTGAACAATTTGAAACTTGATGGGTATAATTTTTTTTTTCAACTAAAGTTTAAGCTAATTTTAATAACATAATAATAAAGATGACTAAATAACTGAGAATAAATGCATAATATGAAAAAGCAAAACAAGAGTGAAATATATTGTTACTGTATTCCAGTGACTGTATGTATGTTGCAGGTTATCACACAACAGATTCAGCCGACCCACTACTACTTCAGAGGTGCCTACAGTATCTGTTTTTACTGAAAGTGCTACTCCTGTCAGGAGATTTCATAGGCAAAGATCAGCAGGGGTTTCATCTTCCGTAATAAGTAATAATATTGACAGTGGTTCCAGGAGATTTAAGCCTAAACCTACTAGTGTTAGTAGTGAAGCAACCACTAGCTTATACAAGTTTAAGTTAGCTAGACCTCAAGGTAGATGGCAATATAAGACCACACCAAAACCAAGAGTAGCAATTAGGAGGCAGGATGAAGATGTAATACAATCAACACCAGCTACACCAGAATTGGAGCACAGCGAACAACAGCCTGAACCATCTGATTCACCAACTACTTCCACAGCAACTCCTAGCTTATCAGTCCAAACAATCAAAGTAGAAATTTCTACACCAGCAAACTTCAGCAATGCATATTATGAAATTGCAACAATTAAATCACCCTACACTTTTCAGGTAATAATTTTCATCAACATTAGTTTTGTTATGTGTTCAAAGTATTTTAGTATCAAGTATTTTAGACATTTGTCACTAAAATTTCTGAGCGAATATAACATTTTAATAAATGTAGAATGATTATAGAGCAAAGAAAAAAAAACTTACTCCAGGATATACCTTCTATCAACTAATACCTTTGTTATTAACTAATTTTAGCATTTTAGATTTAAATTTAAGTTGCTGTATTAATATGTTATCCCATTAAATTTCAGGTAGGAACAGTAAAAAATACAAGGTACATTACTTTGACATCAACATTTGAAAAATTACTGGAAGTTTCATCTCCACCAACAGCTACAGAACCACTAACTGAAAATATTTTAACTTCAACACCAGTATTTGAAAAGGAAGCTCCAATTGTTACACTTCCAATGATTGCTATAGCTGGTAGTGAGACAATACCATTGGAGACAATGACAGATATCTTCAGTACAAGTGAAATATTACTAAAAACACATCTTCTTCCTGTTGTGAAGGATAGTAATACAACAACAATAACGTTGGTACAAACTTATGAGGTTACTAAAGTAGTAAGTGCAACCAAAACTTTGCCACCTACTGAACTTTTCCAGTTTATCCCAAGTAAAACCTTAAATGAGTTTAATACTAGGCTTGATGAAGCTGGATCTGAATTACATTTAGAACTAGATTTTGGCGATAATGATAACAGCGAAGAACAGCATTCAGTAACTATGCTTCCCGAAGTTTCTAATGTTACAGAAATAACATCCTTACCTATCCCTCTTCCAACTCCTCAAGAACAATTGACTCCTGAAAAACTTCAACAATTAGCATTCTTAAGATTCTTGAATCCTAATCAACCACCCGTTGTAACTTCTACACCTTTCATTAGTATACAAACTCTTTATGATACTCATGTAATTCCAGTATTTAATGGACTAAGTACAGTACTGAGCACTATCTCTCGACCAATAAAGACAATCACAAATACTCAATATATGACAAATACTATACCTATTCCAAGTTTACCATTGCCTCTTTTCCCTACACCACAACCACAACCATTGATAACTTCAAGCCCTATAATAACACAAACTGTTATAACTGAAACTGATTCAAAAGTATTGAAGTTGACATTTGGAGCCAAGACCGCCTACACAACTTTGTATTCAACCAGAGTCATCCCTACTCTTCTCACAACCTATCATACAACTCAGCTTCCCATACAACCTACTGTAGCACCATTCCCATCTTTCTTTCCTCCTTTCAATCCATTTTCTTTTGTTGGGTGATTATGATAAAACAGAAACAATATTTTAAATAATACACGCCTAAGCAATGGTTTCAAATGTGTACATACTGTATGAATAAAGTTGTATTTATCTGCAGACCATGTTCTGAGTAATTTAGAACAGATGACTTCAATAATGAATTGGTTCATTAAGAAAAATAAATGTCAACTTTTGTAAATATTGTTAATATGTTTATTTTTTATAAAAGTAACAACTATGTGCAGTTCTGTAATATAAAAGAAATAAATTAAAAATATTTTTATTAAATGTCTTATTTTATTACCAAGATACTTTTCCACTTGGGGCCCCAATGAAATAATGGTGAACTTATCTATTATAGTTTATACATGGTGGCAACAAGTTCTGCAATCAGTACCAGTATACAATGTATAAAAAATCATTATGTCTTAAGAAATAACATAAAATAAATAATAACAGGATATAAATGATTAATGTGATTCCAAGTCAAGAAATGAGTCAATGCGAGGGTTGCTGTTAACACTGCTAGAATTGGCTGTTACCTTCAGAAAATAATTTAATTTTTCTATATATGTATAAAAAACTATGGAACCCATTATAAAATAACAAAATATAGTATAATAATACATCTAACAAAAATATCTGACATATCACTCTTCACAAGAGGTTAAAACTGTTTATATAATATAGTTTTAACATACCAAAATAAAAGCTTTCAGACAAAACTATCATGGATAGGGACATAAGGCATGAGGAGGATATAATAATAGATATAAACCCCATAAATAATAAATAGATATAATTAACATTATTATACACAGAACAATTAACATATAATACACTATTAATAATATAATTTATATTGAGGAGTTTTTTATATGTTTGCATGAATGAGCAATCTTTCTAAAAAATATTATGAATATTAGGAAACGCTGAAATGTTGATGTATACATGTGATAAAATATATGAAGAATTATTTAATGGAAAGGAAGATATATATGTATATATACACAAACTAAAGAAAACAGAGCAATTATTCTTCCTTAAGAAACTAATTATAACATTAAAATTTAAAATTCGTTTGAGTTAATAATTTTTTTAATATTTATTTTAAATTATATCATCATCAAGTTACTTTCAACAGATTAATTTAAAATTACATGTCAACAAAGTGAGAGAAACTCTTTATTTTCATATAAACTCACCTATTATCTATGAAGATTGTATAATTGTTCCTTACAAAAATATTATACACAGTTTTCATTTTTAGTTTCATTTAAAGATTTTATTTTTTTATTTATTTTTTTTTTTTTATGTAAAACTAAAAGTAATACTATTACAGAAACTTAGATAATAATTTATTTTATGATTTCTTTCATACATTTTTTTTTATACCAAAACAACCACATAATATTGACGATTTGTAGGTAACTTAATGTTGAAATAATTTTTTTTTCTAAATAAAATGCGAATAGTTTTGATTGGACTAGCTCACTGCCATTGCAAAAGTATCTTTCTGCTTCACATTAAAACTCATTAATTTTAAATATCAATTATTTGTTTGTTTACCATTTATTTTAAAGTAGTTTCATTTTTAAACAATAAATAAATAAACGTTTGTTGTAAATGTTTTAAAGGTAAGTACGTTGTCTTTTTCCAACAGATCAAAAAATGTTAAAGTAATAATTTTTTTTTTGGATTAAGGAATAATTTAAATGGTAAGTAGCATGGTCATTGAGAATAAACAAAAGTCCAAAATGAGTTTTAAAAAATAATAAGCAAAATCTAAATATCTACAGAAAAAAATATCTACAAAACCATCAAAACATTTTTTTCAAAATATAGAAAACTCATTGAAAGTGGAACAAATGAAATATAGCATGTTAGATGACATCGTGACAAATAATGTAAGGTGGTCTAGGTTATAAAAAGTAGTGATAACAAGTAGGAAATAAAATCATTCATTAATAATAAAATAGCCCAATATAACGCACCATAGCCCAAAGACCATAAGGCATAGTCAGATGTCGCAGAAATGATGGCCAGGTGGTGGTCATCAACTCCCTCTCTGATCTAGACATATTTACCTGACACGTAGGTGGCTGTTGCTTAACTATATTCCATTCTGTTTTTAGTTCCTATTTTGTTCGTACTTATTTTTATTTCTATATTTCTGTCGTCTGTATTTTATCACATTTCAGTACTAATATTATATGTACATGCATAAACTGTATTTTTATTGAATTTGGTAGGTTATATGGTTTATGAAAAGTAGCTCACTCTTTTATGATGGCATATAAAGAAAGATCTTACATGGCTGTGAGGGCGCCCTCCTCCAGTCTTAATCCCTCTCTTCTCAAAAGCTCGGCCTCAGAGAAGCTCGTAGATTAAGCCGCATAACTCTTATCAGATGTTTTTTCAACTCACCGCAAGGCGGCGTTCGGGTACAAAACTACGACCACAATACAACAGGGAAAACACTCCTTCAAGATCTTCTACTCTGTTTTTTTTCTAAAATAGATCTCTTCCCACCTTAGTATAGAGAATAATAGTTTCGTTAGAAGCACTGAAGTATTTTTATTTTATAACATCACTTCCTAATGCATTATTTCCCCTATAAAGGTAAGTCAATTTTAATAAAACTTTGTACAATGTGTGAAATTCGTTTGATATTATATTGAATTTATTGTCTTTAAAAAACTGATTCATCTTTTAAGCCCGTAGAAAGCTAAATTCCTGCTCCCTTTCGTTACAGCCCCAAGAAAAGTCTAGGGTTACAAACGTTATGCTGTATAAACGATTTGTTTCTTGGCAAAACTTGCCAATCAGCCACTGCGATAGACCGTTTACTGACCTAAACTGAAAACTATATTATCAAGCTATATAGGAATGGACCAATAACCAAAAACGTCAATTACTATAGAAAAATTGTTCCACTTTGATACTAGCGGAAGCAAACTATTAAATTAATATGCCATTTTTTTACGGCAATCTGTACCCCGTAATTTAAATCGCGACAAATTTGGGTTATACATACCTTTTACATGTAGATAATCTGATTAGAACTTTACCATGTGTATCTGATTAACGTTTAACTAGAAATCAGATTTTTATGTAGTGAAAAACGTAGATTTTGGATTAAGTCAAAGCTCCTTAGTTTTTATCAAAATCCGTAACGGGTTAATTTAAATATAAATGTTACCAAAAGCAAAAGTTAGTACAAGAACACAAGAAAAACTAGCAAGGAAAAGGTTACGAACCTGCGGTCACTAATTTCAATGAAACTTTTTTTGGTGATACTAGGTAGAAAAATATTATACCCAGATCCGTCAGTGTTCTTCCCAATGCGCCCCAGGAGCCGAGAAAACAATATATTTTATGTACTTCCAAACGAAATTTAGGTTATTTATTTTTGCCTTTGCTTTGCTCGGATTTCTATGTTTATTCCAATCGATTTATTTTTTTGAGCCGAATAAGAAAAAATATTTATTATGATATTAAATGAGTTATAAAGTATCTTAAGTATCAAAAACCAAAAGGCGCTTCAAGTAAAGTAAGCCATTTTGTGTTATAAAAAATAAAGCCACATTCGTTTTTAGCGTTCTTTAAAACTCATAAATACGAATTTTTATAGATGTAAAATATATAAAACTAGTTGGCCCGTGCGAAAAATTCGCAGAAAATTTTGTTTAATGAAGAAATAGCAAAAAAATATGGAAATAAGAAGTTCCTATGTATTATGTAAGGAAAGAATTAATATACTTTCCTTAGTCGATTACAATATTCCATTTAACATAATAGAACAAAATATTTGTACAAATTGCTTTGCAAGGACCTATTTTTAAATGCTGATTGGAAAGATAATAAAAGTAATAAAGACAAAATAATGACCCGATCATAGAATATTCTAAATTACTAAAAAAAATAAAATGTATGAACAACCAAATGTCTTTAAGAAATAATAAATTTAATATAAAAGCCAGATAAAAAAATTTAGTTGACTATTCTACTATTAAATGCAATATCTTTAAACAGGAAGACATTATTAAGTATACCAAAACTAATGCACTGTATCACTGCTAATAAGTGTCCGATTTTTTGTTTTTGTTTTGTAGGTAATTTATAAATCTTCGTAATTAGGATGGGCACAATCAAGAAAAAAAAATGCATACTCTTAATGTTATTCGCAAATAAAGTTTATTTTCCTCCATAACTTTTTTTCGAGAAATTTTGGGTGGATGGGAATATTTTCCTCATGTGAAGGAGAAGAATATCTTCAAAATGAGTGGTCAATCATTGGATTTGATGAAGAATAGACGAAGTTATGGCGTACCGACAAAAAAAACACCTTTTAGAAATAATATATAGGATTTTAGTACTTGATTTTCTAGGAAGATTGTTTTTCTGGCCGTTGGTTAAAGGATCCTTAACTTCTCTGGATTTTCTTCTAACTCGACGACAGTAAAACCGTTGGCAAGCCGGGTCTGGCCCCAGTTCTTTAAAGCTATCAGGTTGGCTCGCTCAGAGTGAAAATGGTTGGGAGGAATCGAGCTCTGATACAAGACCGATATTACACCTCCAGCCCTTGTTTCTGGGCGTTTAAAAACTATTTTAAAAAAAATCATTTAATCCAAAATTAAATAAGCGTTTTCTTTGTACAAATGTTTGTGAATATGACATTTTGATGTCATAAGTAATCCTACTTAGCGATTTTTTCCACAAGTTTTTTGACTTTGCTCTTAGGTTTTCTTGATTAGTATGATATTCTTTGGGTATTTAAAAATGTTATAAATACACTTTGTTGAAAGGAAGCCTTTACTAGCTCTTCTTCAATTTCTACATTTTCTTTTCTAAGAAAAACAGACAATTTTTTTTACAATTTTTTATTTATATTTTTTTAATTATATTATTGTTGCCAGATGCAACTGCACACCATGCAAACCTCATTCTTTAAGATTCCATTGATGGTTATGTTATAATGAAAAATGCAATAAACATTAATAACAACAAAGAATTCTCTGTAAGATGTTATTACAAAGAAACACTCATTATAATATTATTATAGAGATGGGTAAGTAGTTGACTGTTAAAATTATATGGATGAAAATAATTATCACGATTTGTAGTCAAAATTTGTTAATTTTTTAAGTTAAAAAAAGTTTTTTAATTTAAAAAATATTTTAATATTTAATTTTTTATTTAAAGAGATTTTAACTGCAATTCCTGACAATTTTTTTCATCTATATAATATTATTATATCATTATACTTTAAAAAGAAATACTCG